AGGGAAAGAATTTCATTTCCAAAGTCAAAACAAAGCAGGCGACACCAATTTTAAGAAAAGGGGAAAACTGGAAGAACATGAACTCTGAGGTGAATTCTTTTGCCTCTAGCACTAATGGGACAAAGGCCATCCTCCTTTTGTCCCAGGGCTTTTTTTCTCCTATCAAGAAAAAGACAAAAAAGCTCTTAAAAGTACTAAAGGCCACCAAAGTAAGTAAAAAAATAAGCAGTTAATGCCTGCATAAATTAGTAGATATCCATAACTATGCACTTATCTTTTCCCTCTTAACAGCATTTTAATCTAGTTCTAAACACTTGCTTGAAACAACCCATTACTTTTCTGTCTTTTCCCTTTTACTAGCCATGGTGTTTCAGGAGATGGTTCAGTGGTTAGGGGTTGTGGGGCAGAAGTTTGGACTTGATGATTTTGAAGGTCTTTTTCAACCTTGGTGATGATTCTATGATTTTACTTATCTCTCAAGGCTGCCAAGTGACTGTTGCAGGTGTATGAATTTGCTCACCAAACTTTTTTACAGAAATTCCCTAAAAATATACAGAAATAATTCCATGTCACTAAATACGAGCACACAATTGTGTGTAGATACAAATACTGAACACCAGGTTTTCTTATTTAGTGTTACTCAACTGACCTGCAATTGAACATAAATTTTAAAAATTTCCTTAAAATAGGAATTAGTTTCAAGCACACAAACAACACTTTCAGAAATCACTACCGATCTGTTTTATATATATATATATGTGTATATATATACATATCTATGTATATATAAAATTTATTTGAAAAATCATTACAAGAGAATAGGTTGTGTATGGAACTTGCCTCTTCAGTGAAGAGCGTGTTTGCATGAGAGCAGCTTGATTCATAGCCCTGATCCAGCCATTCATGTCCTCCTGGGTGTCTGCACTGAAGTAGTACGTCCGCATCCCTGAATGCTCTGCCTGAGAGCCAATAACAGAATTCCTATTATAAATATATGCCCTCATACCTGTATGAACAGCCTGTAAGGAAAACAGAAAAAAGAAATACAAGTCAGACAGCCCTTCCTTCTTCTTGCCTCCCAGAAAATTTACTGTAACTTTTCCAGATATCTTTATATAACTTTCCAGAATCTCCGACTTTTTCTTAAATTTTGGGTAAAATTATTACACTACCACAGCAGGCTGTGGTGCAGCAAAGCCAAATAGCACTCTCTGATTTTTACTGGAATTCATCTACGTCTTTCTCCCACCATTAAACAAAAAATACAGTGCTTCCATTTTTCACAATATGAAATTTCAGCTTTTAATTTTCTCTTAACGGAGACATTTCATTTGCCATAAATAAAACTCAAAACAAATTAAATTAATTCTCACTGAGACATGCAGAAGGCAAGCCAATTTCTCCAGCTCATTTAATAAAGCAATTTATTCAGACAAAACACAGAAAAAAATAAATCTTGCAATTCAAGCAATTAAATTCCTTACTTAAGAACAGATTATAATGCATGTTAAGATCTTTTGGTTAAAGCATACACTTGAACTTCTGCATTAGCTGCAAAATCACAACATTACTGATAAAGTTAGTAATACTGATGAAATTATCACAGCACATAAAATATTGCCAAGTACCTTTGCACACAAAAAACTTCCATGAAATTCCACTGCAAACTACAGGCATTTGGAAATCCCTCCATAAATATATTCAATATTAAAAAGTGTACAATTTGGAATATCTTTTTAACTCTAGGCTAGTTGAATTTAATCAAATCTCATCCACATTTATATAAGCAATAGAATATATATTACTAAGTCATATCAGTCCTAAAACACTTGACTATATTTCCTAAAAATTACTTTACAGATGTGCTTGAGATTAGCCAGGTGAGATCCATTGCCTTAGTTCCCAAAAAAACAGAAGGCAGTGTATTTAGCCTGAAAGCTCTCAGAATTTTATTAAAACAGAAATTAGTAACTTAAACTGCTTTTTATAAAACTGAACCTGCTGTCGCACACAAAAGCTAATGGCATGAAACATCGCTGAGACAGGGGTTTTCTAAAATTAAAAAAATTCAAGAAACAGCAGCTCTGACCAACTTGGGCATTTAGGAATCAAAGGATTTTCCTCACATCTGCTTGGCCATTTCGAGATCATTTCAAATGGTCAAAACAAATATCATTTAGAAGCATTTAATTCATTGCAATTAATTGTTGGCATCCAGTGTAAGAATGGACCGAAAATTGGCAGTTCCAGACATAAAGGAAATCAGTGATTTTAACACTAGACCTTTGTGACTACAGAGTTCCTTTGCAGACCACATTGAGCCCACAGAAGATGACACTAGAACTCAGAAGTAAAGCAGTCCTGCAGAAGGCCAACCACATCCTGGACTGCATCAAAAGAAGTGTGGCCAGCAGATCAAGAGAGGTGATTTTGCCCCTCCACTCTGCCCTGATGAGACCTCTCCTGGAGTACTGCATCCAGCTCTGGAGCCCCCAGCACAAGAAGGATGTGGACCTGCTGGAGTGTGTCAAGAGGAGGGCAACAAAAAAATTATCAGAGGGTTGGAGCACCTCTCTTATGAAAGACAGGCTGAGGGAGTTAAGGTTGTTCATCCTGAAGAGTAGACTCCACGAGGACCTCATAGCGACCTTCCAATGTCTGAAAGGAGCCTTTAAGAAGGCTGAGGAAGAGCTGTTCACAAGGGCATGTAATGACATGAAAAGGGGTAATGGTTTCAAGCTAGAGAAGGGTAGATTTAGGTTGGACATTATGAAAAAGTTCTGTAGTATGAGGGTGGTGGATCACTGGAACAGGTTGCCAAGAGAGGTGTTGGAAGCCCCACCCCAAGAAACATTCAAGGTGAGGCTTGGTAGGGCTCTGAGCAATCTGTTCTACTTGGACATATATCTGTTCACTGTCGGGGGGTTGGACTAGATGACCTTTAGAGATCCCTTCCAACTCAAGATATTCTATGATCCAGATCAACATAACCTGTTTGCCTTTCATTCTCTTTTCACTGGTGCATGATGAATGCAGCAGAAAGCACTGGCTAAGAGGCCACAGGTGAAAACAGAATAAAAGTGTGAAATAGGCTGCAACATTCTCCCTTGGGAGACCGAAGCTATCACAGCCATAAACATCCATAGCTTCACAAGGGATAAAGAGGATGGTGTGTTATCATCAACTAACATGACATTGTGAAGTTTGCAATATATCTAACTGGTTAAAGGAAAATTCAAATACATTTCAGTTATTTATTAGTAGCATGTTTCATATGCAAGAAAGCCACTTTGTGCCGATGCTCTGTAGCTGTCACTGATAGCGGACACAGCAGGAGTTGTTGTTTTTTGTTTTGTTTTGTTTTTTTAAAAAAGCAATAGCTATTAGGACAACTACAGCATACTAGAAAGCCTAAAACACAGCACATGTGCACATGTACACCACACACACAACAGGGAAAAAATAATACTGGTACCTATTCATGCATTCAGATGCCTTAATGTGGATAGACTGAGAAGAAAAGCAGTCTCTCTCCCATAATGCACAGGAGAAATGGACAGTAAACCCCAAGGGCATATCAACAGGACAAGACAAGGACAAAAAGTTAAACAAGTTAAAACCATGAAAAGATTCATGTTTCCTAAGAAAATACTTAACAAAAAACTATACTAAAAGTAACCAATGCCTAGAGATGTTATGTTCACTTCTGATAACTCAAAATTCCTAGGAGAAAAAAAGCCACAGTTCAAAGGACAGAGAAATGCAGAGGGGACAGCTTTCCAATGATTGTAATATTTCCAAGTTAATCCTCTCCAGGTTTCTCAATCTGTATTTCTGTCAGATCAATATAAATGAGTTTACATTCAGTATTCTCTCATGTATTCTAACACATGTAAGACCAATTAAAAATAGTTTTTATGATTTAAGACAATGAAGCTTCTAAAGAGACTGTGATGACAGTAACCTTCAGAAACTGATGTTACTCATATTTAAAATCATATTACTAAAAAGTACAGCCAATTCTTTATTAACCACAAGGAGCATTTCCAGTTATATGCCAATGTTGTGCAAACTTTTTCCCATTAAAATCTATACATTGAATTTGTGTTGCCTCCCATTTTTATCAGCAAAAAAATACTCTATTAGAAATATAGCAATTAGATAACCTCTAAGATGTTAACTACTGAAATAAATATGCACTAAGAATCCTGAGTTCTAAAAGTCTGTCACAGAGCTTCATGCCAGTAGTTACAGCTAGTCACAGCACTTTGTTTGGGACAAATAAACAATGTGAAAAAAATATCAGGGTAAATACTTAGAAGTAGAGTTTCTAAAGAAAACAATATAGCACACATACTGCTACACTTCAAAGCAGGTTTCTGATTGCATTCAAACAACCAGTATACAGTTCTGCAGGCCTGTAATTGTTAAATACCCAGAGACACAAAAGGCTAAAGCTAGGTCTTAGGAAATGATAGAAGGAAAAAACCTGTGAACTCCTACACTGTACCTTTTAACAGTTAGCTTAACATATTTCCTAGTCAGCACATAATTTAGAAACCTTCTTCTAACAGAATCAGATGCAAAAAGGACCCATGTATTTGCTAAGTAAATTTCCTTTGTTGAGTTTTACAAACTAAAATGTCGAAAATTTTCAGTTTGGCTGCTTCCCTACCTTAAATAACTCATTTTTACTTAAAACAGCCACTTCAAATGAGAGTCAAAATCTTCATTGTAACAGAGGATTCACTGCAATCTGAAAAAACATCAGGCCAAATGTAAAAAGTGACACAACATATTCTCCCACTCATTCAGGACTTAAATGCAAAAAAAGCCCTATCTTTATTTTGGGCTTAATCTGCTTGTGTTTTCTATTTCTGGCTGCACTACATCATGAGACAGAATGTCCGTCTACGCTCTGGATATCGAAATGTACTGAAGAGATTAGATAAAGGTAATGGCTGGTGAGTGATGGAATGCCAGCACAGCCACTGTGTGCCCACAGCCAACTCCACGACCATGGAATGTCAGTGCTGGATGGGGTCCATGTGACAGGACTCTCATAAAATCCTCCTACTGCCTTAGGAGTTGGTTCTAAAAAAATTAAAAATGAAACTGCAGCATCAAGTCTGGAGCCAGTCATCAGACACCTAAAGCAGAGCTGAGATTGGCCCAACAAACTAACTGACAAGACGTATGTTGTGAGTTTTTAATACAGATTTCTAGGATAATGTTTCTCTTGCAATTAGCTCCCTATTTTTACACCAATGTTTTAGTAATGACCCTGTGTTGAATGTCTCAGCTTACTGGCTCATGCCAACGTTCAGAAAAGACTCCAAGTAAAGAGACTTGGTAGAGCTCACACAGGCATGATATCCTAAAAGGAACAGGGTCAGTCTGCAGCTGCTTCTGAAAATGTTTAACCACGATCACAATCGTGGATTGTACTCCACAGGAAACGAAGGGCATAACCTGGCAGTGGTGACTTGAGAGTCTGCCTATAGAGCATACTGCCTGGAAACTAAATGTTCACACACATGAACAGCACTGGGGGTTTTTTATCCCCTTATCACTAACAGTGTTAAACTGGTTAATAATCCTAATATACATTCAATTGATATTTACAAACATCCTTTCAATTAAAAAAAAAAAGCAGACTTTAAAAAAAAAACAAAAAACCAACACCTCTCAAGACTCTAAAGCACCTAGATATTTCATGTTACTTTCTTAATTTCCTTCTCCAGTCTGCACTAACAGCTACTCAAGAGAAGCAGAAGCCTACAAGTACACTGGGTCCTCCTTTTCTTAGTATGTGCTTCTTCCTTGGAAAAGGCTCTAGAAGAGGACGCCTTGATAAACTGCAACCATTTAATATTAGAGTGGAATGTTTGGGCTTTTTTTTAAATAAAGGTTCCTTTGTAGCTTGCCCTGCTATCTCATGTTCATTGTATTTTAAAAAGTACAATAAACATTTCCACAAAGTGCACTGGGTCTTTTTTTAAACACAAGCTAATATTTGCTTAATACATTTCAAATGGTTATTCACTTGCAAACACTACCCAAACCAACAAAAGGCAGTCCACAATTTTAAAACAACCCAAAAATAAAAATGCAAGAGAAAGTCTAAGCTGAGGACATATTCTTCATAATTTCAGCACAGGAAAGATTTAAACAGAAACTTTACTTTTAGATCTTCTAACATATACCTGATAAACACTTGATCTCAAAATTTCTTTTTTTAAAGCACATAGCTCATTCACTTGAAGGAAAACAGGTCCTGCTCCAAGTATTGGTACAATTTAAACCTGCAACTCACACTGCAGTTTCTAAACTGCCTTAGTGCAGCATCTCAGACAACAATCAGTTGGAGCCACGTTGCTCTATTGTCAAGAAAGAATGTATGTTTTATTTATTTTTTGCAGGTTTTTTATAAAAAAGAACTAAGATATATATACAATTAATTTTTTTTTAAGAAAAAACACAAACACAACCACAAATTCTATCAAAACAAGATATTTTTTTCTTTTAAAAACTCCATGTCACTCAGGACAAAAACTGCTTACAAAAATTATTGGTTACTCTTTTTTCCCCTGGAAACCAGTACTATAGATAAAAAGCTACAGTGTAGTCATTTTCTAACTGCAAGAGCTGATTACTCTCTTTAGAAAAGAACATACCAAAACCAAAAGACTGTCAGTTTATTATGAGTTCAAGTACTCTATAAAGAAAAAGCTACAACTTTTCTTCAATTTGTATCAGTACTGGAACAATTTATCAATACTAGTATCTAATTTTAGAAACAGGAGTTTTACTCACAGACACATTATTAAGTTCTAAAGATACTTAGATAGTAACAGACATAGGAATGTCAATTCATAAGCAACAAAGAAGTGCTATGTCACGCTTGAACAGGCAGCCAAAAACCTGTCTACTCTTAAAAAATAAAACAGAAAAGTAGATGATGTTTCTGTTTACAACAGCATCTTTTCTAATGCAAATAAACATTTGAAAATATGATTAGCTAGTAAGTTTTGTAAGTGTACCTTAAAAGAAAATTTGCGATTGATGCGATCCTCAGGTCCCACCGGAGATATTACGTAGCTAGGCAAGGGTATGCTGCCCAGAACAGATTCTTCTCTGCTGTCTGTTGAACAACAACAAAATCACAGAATCTAATTCACTGCACTTTTCAGTGAGGTAACAATACATTCTCCTTTATGAACACACAGACAACAGGCATCAACGAGAAAGAAGAGCAGTTCAGAGCAGCAGTGGAATGGGCCAGCCAAGGGATGTTGTGCTGTCTCCGTTCCTGTAGGCTGTCAACGCCTGACCAGATTACACCCTGAGCCACCTGGGCTGACTCCTTTCCTGACCCTGCTTTCACCAGGCAGTTGAACTGGAGAGTTCCTCAAGTCCCTTACAACCTGAATTTTCTTATGACTCAACACCTATAATACATGGTGAAAAATGGTTAACTTTGGAAGAAACAAGATTTAATTTTTTTAAAAAAGATTAATTTGGTTTTTGTTGAAGATTTTTTTGGGGGGTGGGGTGGGTGATTTTTTAGGTTCAGACATAAGAATATGCTTTGAGAACAAAGCTTATTGTGACAAATGAACTCTGACGGCTGCATAATATGATGGACTTTCCATTCAGCATTTTACATCTAGGCTAATTGCTATAATTAGGAAACCTCTGTTACTGCTGGCTCTAAAGTGATCAGCAGCAGAAATGCAGCACCAAGAAATATTAATTCAAGTTTCATGTTTTGTAATGTTTTCTAAAAATGTAACACACTACACAATATTCAAAACTTCATCATATCCTTATGTAATACCATTATACCTAGTTCAGGCTAAGAGCACATTGAGCCTTTTTTGGTAGAAATACCTGATTCTGAAATTCTCACTCTTACATTGTACCTTCAATAAGAGCTGAATTAATGCCCTGGACTTGCCATAGTTCTCAAAAAAATCAAGAGCAAGCAAGTAAGCTACACAACACAGAACACAGAAGGAATAAATCTTAAAGTGGTATTGCTGCCAGATGTTTTGCAATGTAAACCTTGACATATATAAAGGTAAATTATGTGACAAACGATCATACAGCACCCCCTTGCTCTCCAACTCTGGCCTGAAATTCACTGGACAAATTCACATGGATAAGCAAATGTTTCACAAACCATCTTCTCAGAATACTTAAATATATATACGAAGAGTTCAACTAGTTTATGCTTGCAGTGTAATTTGAACAGACTGTGACAGACTATGCCAAAAAAGTTGGTATCTACTCACCTTTGTAGTAAAATAAACAATAATCAGCCAGCACAAACCATCGCCTTTTCCACAACCGCATGCCAGAGCTATCCTGAAATGCAAGAAATGTGATACACTTTTCATTTAAGGAAAGTTAACAGTTTAGCATTCAATGCTGTCCCAGAGGGTAGTTTACCAGAAGTTTACCTCAGTATGGTACTAACTGCAAAAACAAAAGCTTTATATTTTAGCAAAATATTATGTACTAAGAAAGACAAGAGGCAAAACATCTGGCTATAAAATAACCAGGGTAGAATATTTGGACTGCTAATTGGCATTAAGCAATTAAACTTGCAGCCCAAAGAGCCTTCAGATTAACCTGATACACAGTCAATGAATATTTTATCTAGACAGATCTACCCTACAATAAAGAAACAATGTATGCAACTGGATGTCATAAACTCCAACAAGGATTGCCTGTAGACCAAGATGAAAATCACTACACAGCTGTGAAGTGAGACCTCAAATTTCAGACAATGATCCCCTATAATTCTACAAATCTCTCTTGTTACCCATGTCGAAAACGTAATTTTATCAAACAAAAAATTACAGAGTGCATAATGTGCAAATTTAAATGAAATATAACAACATGCCTGTGCACATCTATATGTATCTCTCTGTATGTATCACCTTGTCAAAATGAGTAACATTTACATTGAAATTAATTTTAGAAGCTTGTAAAATTGCCAGACTGTAACCTAAGGGAATAAGAGTTATTCAGTTGAGGCAGCCAGCCAGCAGGGTAAAGCAGGGAAAATAACCAGATTTAGACAACAAACAGCCTCAACATTTAACCATAATGGCGATATCCATCCATCATTGGTCCTACTTCTGAGTCAAACCTGTATGCAAAACTTGGTTTTCACACTTGTTGAGCACAAGCTCCTCATTATAGAAGCTTGTGGGAGTACCCAACACTGCCCTGTACCACCAACATTGGAGCTTGTTTTTTTTCAGTTACATGGAAGGCACTTTCTTGATTATTGTTTTGAAGTACATTAATAGAAACAGATTATTACATGCATACCTGTTTGTGTAGCCAGCCTCTTACTATAACAGGAACATTGGGATTCCTCCTGATAGCTTGCTCCCTCTTTCCAAAGCTATGAACTTTGTTTCCAGATTTGACAACCTGTAAAGAAGTTTAATGTAGCAGTGGTTTTTAAACTGTACTGAGACTCATTTCATATTACATATAACCTCACTGCAATAATTCATAGCTCATTACACAGCAACAACGTATTTATAGCATTTTCAAGGGCAAATAAACAGACAATGATATTTACAACATAGCAAAGTCAATCTACCACTTTCATCAATATATGAGTGCAAGCACGGTCCACCAACTCCCAGCTGAACTGCAGGAGTGCTGGTGACTGCAGAGTGAAAGCAGAACTGCTCAAGTTTTGGTGTGCTTGGGAGGTATTGTTGGGTGCACTACAAGAGCTGCATGCGAGTCTCTCTCTGCAACATTGTACAAGTCTCTCACACACAGGGCTTAATGTGCGTGGATCATACTCTTGCTGTTCATTGTAGGGGTGGGGAGGTTGTTTTTTGTTTTCTTTCCTGTTTAAAATCAAACAACATTGATAGCTTAATAAAATGCTTGGACTTTGACTCTGCAAACAAAAGTAGAAGACAGAGTGACTGCTATGGAAGAGACCTCGACAGCAGAGTAAGTGGAAATCACAAGGTCTAGGTTTGTGTTTTACTGCAACCTCAGTTTTGACTCACAGGAGGAAAACTATTTCAAACACAAACAAGGAAAGCCTATCAGTCCATGAAAAAGACATTTCTGGATGAATAATCCGCCTGTTCTTTTCCAGTTTCAGCACAGTTTGCTACTGCAATTGCTTTAGGAACCTAAGGTGCACAAACCACCTATACAGCTTCTCCAAGGAAAGAGCAATCCAGATTCACAGAATCATAGAATGGTCTTGTTTGGAAGGAAACTTGAAGATCACCTAGGTCAAATCTCCCTTTTATGGTCACTGTCTCCTTCCTACAATGTCTCCTTTGAATGTCTCCTCTCAGATGGCCAGGGTACGGATGCTCTCGCTCTGTCAGCTGCAGACAAACAGCAGCTCTGGAACGAGTACATTTGCCATACACAAGGGATGATACAATAAAAGCATCTCAGCCTACTTCTTCAGCAGTCAGGCAACATCTAAACTAGTAGACAGTATACCTAAATATAAAATATTCTAGAAATATATGCTAACATTAAATGAATTATATACATTTTGAGGCCAGGGTTTACCAACCTGCACTAAATTTCACACATTTCAGGAGACATAAGCACAAACCTTAATGCAGGATTAGGAAAATAGCAATAATCAGTATGGGAAAAAAAAACAACACATTTTTTTTCTTTGGTGCTATAGCATATAAAACAGCAATGTAATTTAACAGTGGTAAAGAGATATCAAAGGGCAGATTTTACTAGGTAGTTTCCCTGAGGTCTGCTTACCAGGAAGCAGCACACTGCTTTCAGCTCTGTTGAGAAGTCAGGTAAGCTGCATGTCACGGTCATTCCTGTGAAATACCCTGACAATCAGGAGACAGGAAGAATTCCAAATGTGGGCTTTTCCTTAGGAGTGGCCCCTCTGCTGATGAGAGAGGGTCTGCACAAGATTTACCAGTAGCCCAGGGCAGCACAGGAGATGACCTAAGCAGCCCCGCCATCAAGGCTAGCACAAACCTAACAGGTCACGTTGCAGCCAACAAGAGGTTTCTGGGAAGATGCAGCTGCTATTCAGCTGCCAATATCCAGTTCACAGTAGAAGCTAGATGAGGATGGTATCACTGAGATATCCCAGCCCATTTCTCTGCCATATCTGTGCTAAGGAACTCAGCTCACGGGCTGCAGAGCACAGTTTACACACTATGCAGACACAGCGTGGCAATTATGACCACAAAATCTCTCAGTACACACTCACAGGCCTACAAGCAGCAAGTCTGAGACTACAGAAGAACTAAGATATGAGACATTTGGTGTTTGCTGTTGAAAATATTCCAAAATAAAACTTGTTAGTCTATGTCCAAAAATTACTTTAAACAAGCACACAAAGACAACATGAAGATAGCCCAGATCTGGATGATCATATGCTCATCAGGCTAAGCCATATGTATTTTAAGAAAAGTGAGAAAATTAATTCAATCAAGATTTAAAAAAACTCTTGCCAAATGCTAGAAGCACCAGCTACATTTCAAGGGTGATGAAAAATAACAAGACACAAATTATTCAAGGCTCTGAAAGTAAAAAATCTGTAATTTGCACCTAAACAAAAGTCAATGCACAAAATGTACAGAATTCAGTTTCCTAATTTTTCTCTCTCATATTTATCCTAGGAAGGGTGGATGAACAGAACAGTTAAAAGTACAGATGATCTAACCTTAGAGCAGGATTTTCTAAATTACAAAAAGGGAGACAGTATCATGGTAAAAATATACATATAATTAGAATCATAGAATAGTTTGGCTTGGAAGGAACCTTAGAGACCATCTAGTTGCAACTCCCCCTGCATGGGCAGGGACATCTTCCACTAGAGCAGGTTGCTCTAAGCCTCGTCCAGCCTGGCCTTGAACACGTCCAAGAAGGGGGCTTCCATCACTCCTCTGGGCAGCCTGTGCTAGTGTCTCCCCATACTCACATAAAAAAAAATTCTTCCTGGTATCTAATCTAAACCTACCCTCTTTCAGGTTAAAACCATTTCCTCTCATCCTATTACTACTTGGCCTTGAAAAAGTTTATCCTCAGTTTCTGCTTTAAGGTCTCCCTGAAGCCTTCTCTTCTCCAGGCTGAACAACCCCAACTCCCTCAGCCTGTCTTCACAGGAAAGATGTTCCAGCCCTCCAATCATCCTTGTGGCCTTTCTCTGGACTTGCTCCAACGGATCAATGTCTTTCTTGTGCTGAGGGCTCCAGAACTGGACACAGTAAACCAGGTGGGGTCACACGAAAGCAGAGGTGGAGAAATATCTCCCTTGACCTGCTGGTTACACTTATTTCGATGCAGCCCAGGACATAGTTGGCTTTCTGAACTGCAAGCAGAGACTGCCAGGTCACATTGAGCTTCTCATCAAACAACACCCTCAAGCTCTTCTTCTCAGGGCTGCTCTCTATCCATTCTCCCGCACGCTGTATTTGTGCTTGGGATTGCCCCAACCCAGGTGCAGGACCCTGCACTTTGTCTTGTTGAACTTCCTGAGGTTGGCATGGGCCCACCTCTCAAGCCTGTCAAGGACCCCCTTCCCTCCAGCATGTCAGCCACACCACACAGCTCAGTGTCACCAGCAAACTTGCTGAGGGTGCACTCAATCCCACTGTCCATGTCACTAACAAAGATATTGCACAGCACCAGTGCCACTACAGACCCCTGAGGAGTGCCACTAGTCACTGATCTCCACTTGGACATGGAGCCATTGACCACTACTCTTTTGAGTTTGACCATCCACCCAATAACACAAGAAACTCATAGCTTGACTTTCTATCTACAAGGAATTAAAAATAAAAAACCTATACCAAAATCAGCCTACAAAACACCCTACTTGTTAAATTCTAGGTCATCAGCTCTTCTATTCAGAAAATCTGTGTTCCACTAACAAATGAATTCATGGATCCTTTCAGTATCTTCAAGAAAACTAGACAAAATGTTTAGTTTTCTGATAGTAAAAATTGAAACTCTCAGAAATTCCTGCTCTTAATATTGAGAATTCATGTGCAGTGGCTCTGAACTAAACTTTGTGTTCTACACTGCAGCTCCAGAAAGTCCCACAGAGCTGGTATCATCACATACCTGTCACCATTGCCTGTTTCTCTCAGCTACTAGATTCCCTCTTTATTAACCTGCAATCCTCACCAGTTCATCTTAGAAAAATATCAGCAACTATCAGTATCATCAACAATTAGATTACTTCTCTTGTGTAGAACCCATCCAAAACACACTCTCAGAATGTAGATATTAATAAATATATTGCACTACTATCCTTTACTCTTTCGACTTGGCCAAATTACTGTCTAGCACAGTAACATTTATAGACTTCCTTTCACATAATCTGATGGTTTAACAGACTTAATTCCAAATGGACCTTATTCTCAAACTGAAATGCATCTTTATTCCTCTATATCCTTAATTTCTAATCAAAGTAAAATGGCTTTTATCATGGTTAATAATGTAATTGAATTATGAACATGCAGAACTTGCGGACAGAATATGACTGGCTTTTATTCCCTCAATGCCATATCTCCTAAATTTCTGCAGGAATGACAGACTTAATCAGACAGTGCCAGCCTCAAAAGATAGGGAGCACCCCATGAATGTATATGCATTTTTGCAAAACTGTCCATCTCAGGCATCTTAGAAAATGAAGCCTGAGATATTTTTATGAACATCAATGAAACATAATGACATTTTGTTAAGTATAAGCCTCATTTTGTCTTTTTCTGTTTCTCTTATTTGCAACATGCTCCTCTAATTATTCACTGTGCAACTGACATCGTTGGACAGAACACGTGAAATTCTGTTTCCAAACAATTATGTTTTCTTTCAGGAGTTTTATTCAATCCAAGTTCAGACTTGAACATTGCAACCAGCAAGCCAGAAGTCTTCACCTCTTTCATCTTGAACTGATAATGACAAATCTGCTATACACTTGGCAGTTTACCTTCCTTATCCACCCCAAACACAGCAGTTCTTAGCTGTCAACTTTCTACAGAACAATCAAGTGGGAAGTCATGTACCTGTTCCTTCACCTTCTGATTTGGTACTACTTCAATGAGCACAGCTCTACACAAAAATCAGTTTGAATTCAGCCGGGTTCCCAACAGTACACCTACACAGTTCTGTGATGGCTTTTGCAGGACAAAACTATCAAAGCATTTAATAAAAGATAATCATTAGCTATGGGTAGCTAGACCTTTGCCATGACAAACAGAACATGTCCCTGGCTTCATGACTGTCTCTCAAGTCTGTGTCTGGAAACTTAATCTTTGAAAGAATGATAATCGAATTCATGGAAGAAAACATTTAGAAATAGGTGTTAGGATCTTAAAATCTACTCACACTGTGCCAAAACAACCTCAAAATGGAGAACACTGGTTACTTACTTTGCAGCCTTTATTCTCATTACTAGTTCACTTGAATTAATTTTGTGTTAGGCTGTGAAGGAGTTCAACAGATACTGTGACTCTACAGAATGAGGAGTGATTTCAAGCCTGGAAACTCATGCAATGATGAAACAAAGTAGATGTAAGAAAGACATTGGTTCTCTGTCTTAATCAAAATTCCTATTAAGTATTCATTGAGGGCCTGCAGCAGGACTGATCTGACATAAATAAACTTGGTGGAGAAGAAAAGTACAGGCAAGCCCTCTATGACAGTCTAAAGCTGTCATGTATTTAAAACATGCTGCACCTTGTAGCCTGCCAGAAGCGTGCCTGGCCACACTACGGGACTGCAAACAAAACAGAAGCAGAGACCAAAACCAGGCCAAACACATTTTTGGGAGGTTTCTGGATATTCTTCAAGCTGCGATGGAAACTGTATCACCCTCATCTTTAGCTGTGTGGTTCCAGCATCTCCAGTGAACTAGACTCTAGCACATGACTATTATGGGGAGCCCTGTAATTTATTTTCAGTCACCATTTTTTATCTCACTGCTTTTACAAAGCCTCATTAGATCAGTGCAAACACATGACAAAGGGAAGGAGCAGCAGCAGCAGGTGACAGAGGACACACACTGTTTGGCAGAAGCATGATCTTGGGGAAGTTAAAGCCTATTGCATCACTGGAGAAATCCCCAACTCAAAGCAGAGTGTCAGGCCTTCATTAAGTCTGCTGGATTTAAGAGTAAAAAAAGGAACCTTCTCCCTCTAATGCTGGCATTAAAAAAAAACAGTACACAAATGCCCAAGTGCTTTGGGAACTTCAACTGTTGGAATATCAGAAAGAAATTTATAAAGTAATTCAGGTAACCTACCAAGTAGTGTTTTCAGTAATAACTTCATTTAGCACTTTAATGATAGGTGTATACTTGAAATTTGCCACACAACAAACTTTCAGACTATCACTGTTAGTTCAATAATCTAGACATTTTAGATTTACAAAAAAAAAAAAAAAAAAATTTAAAACGTGGGGGGTTTTAGCTTTCCATGAAATTGTTTTAATCTTCTCTAACATATACTCAAGCAATTTAAAACATTAGACACAATTTGTGAGTTCAACTGAACAAAAATATCTTTGCAAGGAACTTGTCAAAGACCTTTCTTGAACTCAATTACTTAACAGGCATCACACTTTTGCATTAAAAAAAAAAAAGTTTATAAACTGCAGTCAAAGTTAAGAAATCTATCTTATCTCTGCTAATTCTTCCAGTACTGTTTCAGTTCTTTTTATCCAGCCCTCTCCCATTCTCACTGTACAGTAAATTACTGTAAGAAGCATTAAAATAGTTGGTGACACTTCAAGTACAGTGTTTTATTACAGTTTGTGCAATAATAAATGCAAGCACTTTGTCAATGACAAATAATGGATTTTTCTATTATTGAACATCCTGTGCGTAAGTTTGGGATCTGAACTGTTTGTGCACTACAGAGACAGCAGAAAAGGATCTAAGTTATTACTAAGATGAAGAACAGCAGTAAGGTTTCATGCAAAAGTAATAACTGTTCCTGGTATTCTGCAGCACTTTTTGCCATATACACTGGACTATCAAAAGACTTGCTGAAATACTAGTATTACTTATATATACTTCTGTTCTCAAGAAGCTACTCAAATTTTACATGTTACAATAATCACTATTTTTTGAATTATCATTCAAAGCTGTCATGAAGGTATATAGTGCTCCTATGCTGCAAAAAGCTTTTATGTTTAGGTAGAAGATATTACCCCTTTGTTGGGGAAAGTTATACTTCTGGGCTAAACTCATTACTCTATTAAAATCAACATTAAAAGAGTATTGGATTTAAAGTGAGAGAAGTTCTAACCATCAAGAAACAGTAGCCTTTTTCCTTTACCTTAGAGCCAGGTTTTGTATCAACAGCAGATGTAGTTACTGCAGTGGAGGTTTCACTGACCATGCTTGAAGGTCTTTGGTTTATTTGTTGCTTGGACATAGATGAATTCTGCCTAGAAAACAAACAAAACCAAATACTTTAAAGCACATTGTTTCGAACAGTCAGCTTTGCCATTTTATATATAAGATCCACAGTGAGCAAATGAATGACAGGCTAGTCAAACATTTCCTATGCATCTGAAATTTCCTTTGCAGTACCCCTGTTATTTTCATTTCAGGTATTCCTCAAGCAGATGCTGCCAGTGACATCTGATGATTGGTATTTGCCAGTGCATCAGGAAGAAGAAACCTGCCAAATTCTCTGCAAATCCAGCAGAGAATCAAAAAATAACCAAGAGCACTCAGAGAAGATAAGGCTAATGCAGAAAAACTAAACTGTACCCAATTTAGAGGCTTAGCGGCAAACACGTGGAAGAGACAAAATTGGGGAGGGAAGGACAAGAGTCAGCACTTTGCAGTCACAGGCTTCTTACTTAAAATCAAAGTAAGGCTAGCCTAGTATTAAATCTGTCACTAACTCAATGTTACATCTTTAAATCAGCCCAAAATACAGTTCACACCACAATATGAATTATTAAAGTACCTTTTAAGTGAAATGGTGCAATTTGTGGCAGATATTGTTAGAAATAAATAACTTCTGAGTCATACTAAGATTCAAGAAATCTTGATAACTAGCTTATATGCAGATACCTGTTTAAAGCATAAATGAGATCAATCCTAACACAGGAACCTGTTCAACAAGTAAGAATTCAGCACAGCTGCCTAGATGAAGAAATGAGAGAATAAAAGTAATAGCGAAATCTTGAGGAAACCCAAATGCAAGATGTGAAGAGAAATGTCAGCAGCCAAGCACAACACTAACTTGTGAATTAAACCCACAGGTGGCTTTTTCAGTAATCATATACAACACAGCTTAGCAAATTGTAGTTTAGGAACAAGTAGCAATACAGTCACATCAGAAAAAAACCTACATAAAATAAACTATTAACAATGTATGATTTTCATTTTCCCATCTCAATAAATTACCAAAGCCATTTTTAAGAAAATAAAAAAAAAAAAAGACAGACACACAAGCCACACCAAATATTACTGTCAGTACCACTGAAATTCAATCCAGTTCTGAACACAACAGAGAACAGAGTAATTTTGAGCAGCTATCACTCATGAGAACAGAGAAGAGCTTGAGATTGCAGTGGCTCACCACATGTTTAACAAGGACAAGGTGTTTGCCACCATTGTTCTTCCTCAGTTACAATCTGAAAAATTACTTCTTCAAAAGCCATTACAGTTGATTTTTGTGTCAGGGAAAAAACATTTTTCCATTTGTGGTCTCCCAGTTTCAATTAAGTTTACAAGGAAGTAACATAACTTGGATTCCATTTCCTTTGTGCCTTGCTCAGCTGGCACAAATCCTTTCTTTCTAGCTTTTACACCTAAGTTCAGGTCCAAGATAGAAGAACGAGCAACAGCAAGTCCCTAAAATCTCTGGACAGCCTTTAATGCATGAAAGCTTCATCACATCAGTTTGAGTCAACTTGCCAGGTGTCTTCAACATTTAATTAGCTTTAGGAATATTCAGTTTCAGCAAAGAGCAGATTAAGACACTTCCCGTATGTAACAGTGCCTGACTAAGCTATTTCTGTTGATCAGGCAGTCTTGATACCTGCATTTGACTCTGTTCTTATTCAATCCTTTCCCACAATATAATCTTCAGAAATAGGCAGAAAATGCAGACTTACAATGTGCCTGCATTGTAGATCCAAAATCATTGCACTTGCCTTTTCCTAATACTTACTTACCAAAAAGGTTTTATTTTCCTGCTTGAGGCAACTAAACAGAGAGTAAGTACTTATGGTTGCACTCCATGATCTCAGGAGTCTTTCCCAACCTGCATAGTTCTATGATTCTATTTCAAGGAGGGAGAAACACAAACAGAGATGTGACAGTCTGCTACTCTGTCTCCTCAAAAATTAATCTAAAGGATCCGTTTTTATGTCATTAAGAGGGCTACTAGAAATGAGTTGCAACAGCACAAAAACAAAACCCAACCAAGGAAAAAGCATGGCCTTAGAAGACACAACCTTTCTCTTCTTCTCTTGAAGTTTAGATTCCTTGCAATGTTTATGCCACAAACTACTCTGTTCTATACTGCAAAGTACATGTTATTTTTCAGATACTCACTGGGGTGAGGAGGAGGAAAGGAGAAGGCAGAGGGAAGAAGAGAGAGCACTTAACTTACATATTCAGATAACTATAGGCTTCCCAGCCTATAGATAATCTGATTAGATGATGTTTATTCATTTTATGTAGTAGCTATTTCACAGAGAGCTAACTTTCTCAGGAAAGTCAAAAATGAAAAATAAAATCTTATTTTCAACAAATTTTATTTATTTTTTCCAACAAAAAAAAGTTAAAATATAAAGAGAAATAACTCCAGAGAAATGGTGTGAACCTACCAGTTGGGGTAGACAAACTCAGATGGAACAAATTTTCACTGTTCCACGAGATGTTGTTTCACCATAGGTTAAATATACAGCACGAAAAGAGAGATAGATAGATAGATAGATAGATAGATAGATAGATAGATAGATAGATATTTAAAAGAACTACAGAGGAAGAGAAGCTTTTTAAGTTTAACAAGATCATCACTATCAGAAAGTCATAATGTAGTACAGAACAATAAATGCATAATTTATAACAATTTGTAATTTGAATTCTCTTCCACTTCCTACTCACTGCCAATAAATCAAGCTTTCCCTTTCTAATTCTACCAAAATAAATTATGAACTTCAACTGGGAAAATAATAAATTCACAAAGAGAAAAATGTATTTTTTAAAATGTGAGGTTGTTGCCATGTGGAAGAACTTTCATAGCCAGCAAGAGAGACAGTACATCCTCCAAAAGAGAAAATACATTATTCTTCTCCTGAAAAAAAAGTCTTTGGCAGCAAATACTGGTGATCCAAATTTTCTGGAAGATGTAACAGAAAACACCAAATACTGAAAATTAATTGAAGTGCAGTATTGCAAGGATAATACAGGTTTGCATGAAATCAGAACACAAAACACAAGTATCTTAATAGCTAATTAATTATCTCCATCTGATTTTAAAAGCAAATAAAAATATGCAGAATATGCAGAATTACGTGAAACATCCCACCATGTTAATAGACTTAATACTATCATAATAGAGTTTACAGATTAATCTTTAAAAATTAGTGACTATAGCATTACCCCTGTGCATTCAGAAACACCAGTTCACAATAACAATTAGCAAAAAGGCTTGATGATATCTGTTATTCAAGACATCCCATTCTGTTTTCATAGTGCTTGTATTTGTCTGTTTTCAGAACAGCTTTCTTGCTGCCTCTTCCAGGTCTGTGCATACACAGAACTGCAGTATTTACATTTGTAGCTCCACTCCCTTGTAAATCTTTTTTAAAGACTTGAAAATAACACTCGACATAGCATCTCCTGTCAAGCAAGTCCCTACTCTACTTAAAAAGTGCTAATATGTCTACAGAAATCACATTTATCAGCTACAAAAATTACACGGTCAATCTTTGGTTTATTTAAAAAAAAAACAACCAACACTTAGCAACAACAACCCCCACAATTAAGTACACGAGTAGCCCATATTAAAAATGCAATACTCACAAGAGAACACATTCCTTTTCTTCTCTAAAAGGATCACAAAGATTAGTCGACTTAGAGGATCCACATTCATACCAGCAACTTAAAAACTTTATTTTGTTGAAACCCAATTCAACACAAACATTACGTCAATCTAGTTTTAATCCTAATAAATCTCCAATTCAGCTAGTTAAAAAAAAATAACTGTTTCAGTATTTTTATTAATGTAAACATAGCAGATACTTATTTTGGGGTGTTTGGGTTTCCTCCTTTCTCTCCACCTGATACTTTTGCTGCTATAGTAACCAAATGCAATAGACAAAATAAGATGGCTCCCTCCCCAGAGGTGATACACTGGTGTTATCAGCTGCACAAAAAACAGGCAAAAAAGATAACACTAATTGCATTAAGAACACTTTTTTTTTTCTTTATATTTCTATGTTTATATTGAAGTATTACCCTTTTTAACTTCCAAGTATCATGTTCACATTTGCAGGCATACGACTTCCACAAAAATACATTGTAAAGCTTCTAATACACAACTACTAGCTAGTGTTTGTCAACAGATGATTTTAGATACAGGGCTGTAAGTGCATGCTTCTTCCTTTTTGTATATAATTATTTAAAGAACAGTTATTTAAAGAAAGATAAGACAGAAGAAATCTAACATTATGCACATCTATCCTAAGTAATTACATGATAGGTTTGGGGTTTTTTTCAGAGAAATGTATATGTAACGTGATTGAACTACATTTTAGATCTGGCAGCCTTATCATAAATTCTTATTTCTCCATTGGTTGTTTAGCTGAGGTCTCCTTGTAGGTTAAGGTTTCATTAAAAATAAGAAAGTAAAGCACAAAAGCTAAGAGAGAGTTGTGAAATGGAAGGAAGCTACCAGAGGGACTTCCTATGCAGCCATGGAATTCAAATTGCTTAGAGGTGATCCTGAAAACTGTGAGATGACCAAGTCAATACAGGATAAAAACTTCTGAATAAAAACCAAAATGTTGACAGGAACAGATGGAAAAATAGTCTTCTGATATGAGTAACCATGTGATAAGATGCCAAACTGAATTCAGTGTCAATAATAGAAAACTAATTCAAAGGAGGAAGAAATTAAAAACATCTCTGCAGCTTCTATGGCTCAAAACAACATTGGCAATCTCAGGAAAGGATATTTTTAAATCTAAGTACAATAAGTAGCAGCATCCAAAGCATGTTAAGAAGTATTAGGAAAAGAATGCAGAAGAAAAAGTACCACTAAATTATTATAAAAGTGAGTTCATACATTGAATACTGTGTTCACCTATAATCAATCACTCCATCAGAGAAGAAAAGAGAACAAATCTCAAAGTATCATACAGAAAAGCTAGTTCTCAAGCAGGGCTAGTGAAAGGTACAGAACACACCTCCCACACAC